CCTTCTCAGTTTCAGTTAATTAGCATGACACCACAGCAACTAAATGGTGTATGTGCAAGAGAACTAACACTTAACGTTAGCTACACTATTATGTCATTTTCACACACAATTCTGTAACATTAGAAGACAAAGCGAAGGTGAGTTAGACCTGACAAACGACTTGGATGCAGGGCAAGTCATATTATCAATATTTCAAAGCCTGAGAGAGTATTTTCTGTGTGCATACACAGGTATAGAAAGATTCTGAGGAATAAGAAGAGGAACAGGAGAATATGGTCATAGGAAGATCTAATTTGAGGATGTATTGAAAAGCATGCATGTGATCAGGTAAGGGTACTCTGCTTCCAAATGAGAAAGAAAACAAGTTTATTTTATAAGTAACAGTTAAATGTTCAAGCAGGCAATTAAAGTGCTTTACTAAGGCCACTTTGGGATAGCAAACACTTTGAAGATTATATATTCCCTCATATTTCATGTTCAATGTTCCTCTAAGTAAAATATGTGGTTCCCTTTAGTTAATCAGTTATGAATTGTACTTTAAAGGTAAGGGGACATTTTTGATAATGCACATATTAAACTTTTCATTAAACTACCAAATTTAAATTCTACCTTTTTGTGCACTCTGACATTTTTGTCTGGCATTTTCATTAATTTTGCGACATACATAAATGTAGCTGAAATGTTAACTGATCAATACTTTGTCTCTCTCATGTAGCACTGGAGCAAAGCTCCCCAAGGACCATGCAGCAGTACAGAAATTAAATGTGTAAAATATCAAATGTTAATGTTAAACACAGCAGCACGTACTGTATAAGGACTGAAAAGGCTAAAAGAATTCCAAATGGACAGATGGTAGCACAAATTATCTACAATCACATTTAAAGATTAAAGTTTGTCCCGTAAAATAATTCATTGACTCAAGTTGAAGTGTGTCCTTTTACTGATAGCTCAGTTGTCCAATTATTTTTGTGCTCATTACAGTGAGAAATGACAGTATTGGAAAAAAAGAGTGCACACTTCTTTTCCCCCTACATTGCGCCCACTGACATCTGCAAGAACACAAATGTCTGGTCAAGAAGCTGATGGAAATGAGGCCCAATTTAGCAGACATTTGAAAGCCCACAGTAGATTAATGTAAAGAAAAAACTTCCCCATTTCCACACTCTAATAAAGTTCTTTGGTCTGGCATATACCATATTAATTACTGAATTAAAAATATATAAAAATTAACCGCTAAATTATCCAAAGGTCTGTTTAAATACAGAATATCAATCATATGAATTTACAGCAAAGGCTCTCTCTACTTATACCATTCTTTTCCACTGCATTTAGCTTCTTAAAAAGCATTAACACAGGCACATGACATATTCTTTATCAGCCTCTAGACATAACAGGGCTATACGTAATATAATAAAGCTGTTCTGGAACTGAAACATTAATTTTAAATTGTTGCTTATTTAACAGGAAATAAATATGGATAAACTGGGAGAATATTAAATCTTCCAATGGTTCAAATCCAAAGCCACATTCTAGCCAGATCAACCTATGTTTCATGAGCTATTTACAAATATCTTTGAATATCTGAAAAATAACAAGTTAATATGTCACAGTTAGTTTGCTTAAGAATATAAAAAATATTTCTGGATAGCAATTATTATTTTGCCGTGAACTACAGAGGCACAGAAAAAAAAAGTGGAGTCAAAACCTTAAGTCATTCAGACAAAATCCCCAGCGACAGAGATGAAATAATGAAGTTCAACAGAAACAGGTAAAGCATGGTTTTACCTGTTGAGGAAGTTGAGGAAGTGCATCATCTGGAACACTGAAAACTTAACTTCCAGGTTTCTATACTTCTAGGTACATCATTGCAACACCAGTCACTGAGCTGGTGCATTTCGAGAGATTTGAGAAAGAAACATTTTCCCAAATAATGTAATGGTTTGAGAGAGCTGAGCTCTGGAGTATAAACAATCAGCAAGCCCCTTCAATGAACATGTATAGTCTTGATGGTCAGCACTGTGACTCTCCAAGGAGAATGACATTAAAAAGAGCTGCAGTGAACACCTCAGTGTGCAAAGAGCATAAAGCAGATAACTGCAGCATGTTACAGAGTCACCATATTGATGGAGGCTTCATGTGGGTTTCCAAGACAAGTTGTCCTTTCCAGACCTCTCTTATTAATTACAACTACATGTCTAAAAGCTTGGCTAGTCTGCCAGAATTTCTTCCCCTGTGGTCTACTGTATCAGTAGCCTCATCAGAAAGTAAAGACTTGGAGAGAGATATGAGATAAGGGTACCTGTAATTGTAATGACAGGAACTTGGGAAAATGAGAGATCTGAAAAATCAACCCTCACACATGTAACTTATGTGAAATGGCTATAAATCTGTATCGGAATGTTATCCATCAAGGTATGTCTTTAAATCCAAAAGGAAGGAATGGTTAGTTTAAAAGTTTACATCTTGTACATTATTTATTAGTCTGAATACAGAGCTGGAATGCTCCAAAACAGCCTATTTCTCATCTCCTTTCTGGCACTGTCATTTCACTGTGACATTCTCTAACCTCTGGGAAACAACCTAAAGATGAGATACAATTTGTATAGTAGTGAAGAGATGAAAATGATACATATAGGTTCAAAGTTTTTAATAGACTCTATTAAACTGAGGTGTAACTTTAATGCAAGGATAATTCAGTGTTACACATGCAAATAGACCACTCGCAAGATTTTTTAAGGGCCTACTATAGCTTTGAAACTCCAGAAACCATCTAAACTCCAAAGTTTATGATCATGATAGAAGTTCATGCAGATTTGACTTGCCTAGCAAAACCTTATCCATTTTTTGCCCAATAGAGGGATGATTTGATGTTTGGAGAGAAGAACACCAGGTTGAAAAGCACAGGATGCACTTTGGATGCAGAGCAGGAACACATCTGTGCAGTCTCAGCACTGATGCAGATGTAATATATATGTAACTACCACAACCACCACAAAGCGAAACAAATACTAAAAGGAAACTAAGCAAAGCAGGCTTTTAGTACATATATATTTATAAAATATGAATATATATATATAAAAATAATACCAGAACTAGTTTCTACCACAATACACTAACTACAACAATGACATATACTAACTACAGATGTCCCTGCTCAAATTCTGTGTCCCTGCTCAAATTCTGTGTTTTACATATTTCCAACTACTTATTAGGACACAGAATTTCTTTTATGACTGGAAATAATTACAGTTTGACAGCAACATAACTTTTTCCATGGCCACAGCACTGCACCATGAGAAACAAATAATTTCACTAGCCTCAAAGAACAGGACATCTTTCTACTTCCCTTTCTTCTACCAGGAAGAAGTGGGTGTTCCATATCCATATTAAAATCAGACTTAGATTCATACTCACTAATACGAGCAGTAATAGCATCATGAATATTGGAATTTTAAGTGGAGATCTATATTTTCCTATGAAATTTTGATCACTTTAAACTGAAATGATAATTTTTCTAAAGTAAACAGTAGCAAGCTATTTAGATTTTGCGCATATTAGAGTTACACAGACATCAGTAAAAGTATAAAACCCCTGAGTGCTTCAACAGCACACGTATCTCCTGTACGCCTGATGAACATTGCAGCCAAGGACTGGCAATGTGCTGCCATCCTTTGACAGGTTGGATGGTGCTTTGAGCAACCTGGTCTAGTGGAAGGTGTCCCTGCCCGTGGCACAGGGTTGGAACTAGAAGATCTTTAAAGTTCCTTTCAACTCAAACCGTTCAATAATGATGATGGGCTACAGCAGAGTTTAACAAGTCCTGTGGAACAAATGGAGCCCTGCTAGAAGAAACTTCCTGCAAACCAGCTAAATTTAGTGACACACCAAAGTACCCCATTTTATTGCTCCAGCACAGCCAGTTTCACTGTCTGGTTTGCTTTCTCCAAATTTGAGGCATCTGAGCTTTAGTCACCCAGCCTAAGAGCACTGTCACCAGATTCCCTTTATATTATTCAAAGTAACACCAAACCCGAGTTCATATTCATGGTAGAGAGGCTTATAATGTCAGTATTTCAGCAAACTTAATAAATTTAGATATTCCAGAAAAACTGTGCCCATGCATACATGTTTACTCCTGGGGAAAAAAAAATACAAACCCCAAACAAAAAACCAGAGACTTTGGTTCTGTTTGTAGCTCATGTGATTTTGAAAGTTACAATACATTCATCTGGGAAAAAGACTTTAACCTACAAGGATGCTTGGCTAATATTAATGAAGCTAACGGTTATGGAGAAATAGTTTCAGTTATATCACTAAAAATGAATTCACTAAAAACAACTATTATCAGAGCTTAATGTCCACAAGATACTAATTTGTTTGCATTAATGATTTTAAAGTTGATTTTGTTTTATTTTGGGGTGGTATTTTTGTTTCGTTTTGTTGTTTTGGGGTTTTGGTTTTTTTTCAGTTATTTTTTAACAAAGAACACTAAATCTTAGAAAGAAAGTGACTGTTTGGGTCCAGAGCTTTGCAGTTCTAAAAAAGTTACAAGCATAAAATATATTGATATGTGGAGAGTAAAATCACACTAATTTTACATTCATGATATGTAAAAGAATCCATGAAATACACAAACCAAATCTTAAGAGTAAATATATGACATACAATGGGGCCACACAAAATTTAATGGAGGTAATGTGTGAGAAGCTCAAGAATGCCATCCATAGTTCACTGACTGTATTTTGAGTTCTATCACTCTCTTATTAGAACAATTACAAATCTGAAAAATCACCAACTTTCTATCTTGATTGTGTGACATTTTAAACTTAATTACTTAAAAATAAAAAAAAAAGTGAATAAGCATGACTTGTGATACCTTCATAATTCAAAGTCTAAACCAAATAAATAAATAACATCCTACCATGTCAACACTGTATTATCTCTCAGGCTAGAACACAAATACACCAGGGTGATTAACAATAATATAAAGAAGATCATACCAAAAAAGCAGCGAGACTTCTCGAGGGAGAATCCCAGTCAAAGCAACTGCTAATGTAGTAGGCGGCATTTATGAGCACGATGATACAACGCTTCATCCTGATAAAGTTTCTTAACAGCAGCTGTTGAAAAGATGAAGAACAAAACTGTTTCAAAACCCCAGAAGCCTCAGAAGAGGCTGACACTTACAATAATGTCAATTGATATTAACTGAATTAAATTCTGACAAATTGTTGTTCAGTTTTAAAAAGCCACTTAAAAACTTCATAAATTATTTTGATATTAAGATTTAAGTTTTGCTATGTAGGCAAGACTTTTCCCCATTCTCAGGTACTTAGCGAATGTTAGCCTCTCTGAATAAAAAGATGTTGCAGGACACTAACTTGAAAACATGTAGAATTACTGCTCTAATCTAATTAAGATCGCATGCACCTTCTACATTCATTTTTTCCTTCATTTTTATAAAATTTTTCTGCTGTGATGAAAATTTTGGCCACATAGTTTTAAATAGCTATCAAAGTAACTTTACTCACATACATTCAATCCACAGAGATGAGAGACAACAGTGCCAGGTTTTAATTCAGGAAGACACCCTTAAATCCTCTCAAATTGCATTACACTTGACCAAAAAAAAGAGTTAACAAACCAGGGAATGATTTGTGTACTGAATAGCACAGAAAATGCTAGTTAAGTAAGACATGCTCACCCTTGGAAAATGTGGATACTTTAAAATACCACCACATCGGTTATACATAAAGATTCCTTCCTCACTCCACCCCCCCACCCCCGAAGTGGTATTGTGGTGGGCTATCCCATGCAAGTCAAACAAAAAATCCCAAACAACTGGAAGTAGGCATTTCAAGTTTACTCCTCTGGCCATCTGCAAAAATGACAATGCCATTTTCTGTTATGAAAATGGGGAGAAGAATGACTTGAATAGAAGGCCTTGCTGCTTCTTTGCTGGAACAATAGTACAAAATGCAGCTTTAGCAACTGCATTACTCATAACAGTAAAGAAAGAAATATTTTCCCTTTTGAAATCTTTTTTAATGAAATACATAATAAATAAAATACATAAATGACATAAAATTAAGCCAGCAGATAATTTAAATTTCACTCAAGTATACTAGCTTTCAGCAAAATAAAAACCAGTTCTGAGACCTTTGCCTTTTCACTGCAAACAACAAAAATCTCATTCCCACAGCCCAACGAAAAACCCAGTTCTCTCCATATAAAATGCATCATTTGCGGAACATATAAACCTTAGTCAAAAGTAGTTCAAGTAGATTAAAAGATGTGTTAAATATATGTTACCAAAACATTAAAACTGTGTGTAGCAAAAAATACCCAGAGGGGAAAAAAAAAAAGGGTGCAGACATGTGATTTCTGCCCATTCTTTGATTTCCTACCCACAGGACTCTTCAAAGTAATAAAGACTTCTAGTCTGCTTTCACCTTTGATTCAAACCTTACTCAATTAACTTACCTAAAATTTGGCTAAAAGAATGCTGAAAGGCTCTCTAACCCGCAACAAATGGAGATCTTTCAGGTCAAGGTTAACAGCAAAAATTTATGCAAGACTTAGTTTACATGCACCTGTGCTATAATCTGATATGGGTGGAACCTGATGGTTTCAACTGTGTTCTTATTCAGGTATTTCATGGAAATTAAGCTGCAATTTATAGAGGAGACACAATAAAGCCATGTATTTTGTTTCTGCGTTTTCCAGCCTATCATATTCTTTTGTAAACAGATAATGAAAATGTTATTCTCTAACCTCAGCAGTATGGTACCAGATATCTGCGTGTCCACACTTGATATTAAGGCTTTCGGAAAGGATTAGTGTTTCCTTACTCTTTACCTGTTTAGACAGTCTGTTTTCCTCTTCAATGTACTTCACTTCTTTGGGCATTAAGGTTCGTATGCTGGCTTTCACCTACACATTGAAATGTGCGTCAGTATTTCAAGCTCACCGCTCCTTACTAGTAACACATGCTTCAATTTGCAAACCCCACTAAGTTTCAAAGTCATGGCTGCCAAGCCCGTAAGCGGCACGTAAGTGCACAGAGGCATGGGTTGCTGCTCCGTACGCTCACAGCAACAGCAGCGGCAGCAGCAACAAAAAGAGTGGGTGTGCCAGGCAGTAGCAGAAGAGTATTCTGTAGTATACATCAAGGTTTAGAGAAAATGAGGAATGACAGAAATTCTCTACAAATCAGGAACAAAAGCTTTCATGAAACTGAACTCTTTAGCAGTACAAAAAAGCCAAAGTTAAGACTTACAGCATTAAAAATCACATCTATTTCAAGATAGATGACCCCCTTTGTTGGCCCTGTCAGCTGCTTGTTTTTCAAGACGTAGGCTTTCTGTTCACCATTTTGAATCTGCAGGAAAAGGACATGACAGCCGTCTGTCTCACGGTCTCTGCTGAATACACCCCCCTGCGACCCCTGACCCCCAGCTGCTGAAACTGACAGAGAACCCAAAACAACTGTGGCAAGTCTGACAAGTACCTGTTCATTACCAGCACCGAGTCTGTCAGGAAAAATTAACTATCATGGGATTCAACATGGCCGTGAATTGAGTATGTTAAAATTTTAGTGTTCTTATTACAGACCTTGGTTGAGAAATGACAGACACGAAGCTGCAATTTTTTTTATTTTATTTTTTTTAATCCCCCTCCACCCCCC